AAGTCTGGTGGAGAAGATAGATGCGTGGATCGTCCCCTCTACAAGTTACTCTGCCACTTCTAGAGATGATAATAAAAATTCCTCTCGCTCTTCATCATTTCGAGGCGCTTCTTGCACGTCTATTCATAGAGTTGTTTTCTAGTCATGATGGAATGGCTTCGACTCGTATTTTTAGATACGCACAGCAGTTGCAGCAGTGCGCCTTTGAAATGTATCTGGCGGATGCATCTTAGCGGCCATGCCTAATTCAAGAATCACAAAGATTCCGGCAAGATGTAGATGCAAAGAAAACACCGAAACAGCTAAAGTCCAAATAGTCACTCTGGACTTGGCACCAATTCAGAATGCAGCTTCGCTATCCCACAGATACTTTTGGCGCTGCGGCATTCCACGCAAGTTAATCACCTCAATTATAGGATACCCAAGTGGTTGGGCTGTATAAGTTTTAATTGCGCCAGAATTTTGCATCTCTGGTGTCCTAAATATTTCATTTGGCAAAAAGTTGTTTGAAACGTTTGCTTATCTTCAAAGACAAAAAATATGTTTGTACAAAAGATTCAAAAAAAAAACAAAAATGCTTACTGCTTTTATACCAACTTTAATTTAACCTTATACTATATTTGTATTATTTTACACATTTAAATATTTATTTTATTCTTAATTTTGCTTTTCAGTGCTTTTGCTTTTAATCAGTGCTCATGTGACATTTTATCAAAATTATTTATAGATATAGACACAATTTTATACCTTTCACTAGCTCCTATTGAGTTATGTTAATACCAAGTTTTTTAGTCTCGAATTCCACTTAATAATCGTTTTACAACTTAATGTGGTAAAAATGGAAAAGAGGCGACGACCGAGAGAATCTTAAACCGCTTAGTGAATAAGCCAAACAAGATCTGTGGACACCTCCCCAAGACACACCCCTTCTCCACCGAGAAACGCTAAGAAATGCGAAACTATTTGAACAACATGCGAACCGGTTCCCAATGAATTTGATGTATAAATTTTGTGTTTTGTCTAACAAATTCAAGGTTAATTTTGAATGCAAAATAAATAATGCTCAGACTTACAAATTAGTTTCCGTTTAATTCAAAGAAATTCATTTACTGCTGAAAAAGATGGACATTAATTAGCGGCTGGCTAATGATTGACTTCAGCAGCTGACACAGTGGCCAAATGAGATTTTCGTTTACAGATAGTTTGACATAATTTGTAGGCGTGTTTTTCCTACTCCCCGACCCCTGCTTTCGGCCAGAAAAACATGCAACAAACAGTTGCATGTTCGTGGGCGTCAAAAGAAGCTGAGGAGAAAAACACAAACTTGATGCGGAAATGCAGATAACAAATCAAAGAGACGGAGAAAATTGAGAGAAAAACCTTTGGAAAATTAATGAGCTGCAAACAATGCGGACATCGTTAAGGGGAAAAAGATTTTTTCGGGAAAACTCAAAAAGGAGAAGGCAGAAGACGAGGGAGTGAGGTCAATATTTGGACACCGAAAACACAAAAAAAAGTAAAAGTTTCGCGCTGGGAAAAGGGAAAGGGGAAATCTTCATTTCAGATTGAACAACAAATTGAAAAGATTTTAATGATTTTGACACACGTCAATTAGATCTAGATTCATTTATCAAATCCAATCAAAACAAACCAAAAGGTGAAAAAAAATTAACGTTTAGACTGAGTAAAACTGAATTTTTGTATAGGAATTATAAAAACATGATTCTTCCAGTAAAACACCTTATTTCAAACTAATAATAATCCATTTTACAGCATTTTTGTTCTACAGATACTAAAACAATAATTTTTTTTTGCAATAAAAACTATTTCTTAATAGGGAAAACCAAACCAAGGCAAAAGCTATAACAAAAATAATGGCTGCAACCGAAATTACCAGGTAAACGATTCGCTTTTCATTTTACACCTTCCACAAAAACACAAGACCTCCAGACACAGCCATCAATTGCCGCCCCCTTCTACCATCCCCCATTAACCCTTCATTTTCCGCTGGTTGTAAACAAATCAAAAGGAGGTCAATCCATATTGGCAGAATAAAGTGGAACAAACAACAATAAACAAGAAGAGCTACAATTGCTTGAAGATTAAATGTTTACAAAACTTGGACAGACAGGCGATTGCAAAATCTCAAATGCAAAGTGCGATCACTTAGTGAAAATTAGAAGCAGAGTACCGAACGATTTTCGCAATAAATTGTGTAAATTCTAATTTTGTGCTGGAAAATGTCTATTTAGCGCAGGAAATGTTGCGGAATAAATTCGACCGTGTATATATAAAATACTGTTAATTAAAAGTTTTCAGGGGTTTTGAGAAGGGGAATTAGATGAGATCATGACGGGGAGCTTGTTCACCGAAGCAAGTGAATCAATGATCAGGAATGTTGTAATTAAACCGAGAAGAAAGAATCAAGAGCGTTTACATCGGGTGGAAAACAAATGTCAGAGAGTGTATAAAAGTATAACAGACCGTATAACGTTTTTAAAACAGAGGGGGATGATTGCAAAGAATGGGGTGTGCATTTAATGCAATAAGGGGTGGGTGAAACATCACAAATGGGAGCAAGTACAGCAAGATAAATATCAGAAGTGTGCCAGGGAACTGTGTGTGTGATGGAAACAGCTCGTAATTTTCTCCGAACACTATTTTCCAAAAGAAATCAGTCTGTATATAAAAATGGAATCTTTTTTTTATATTAAAAATAAATTTGATTATTCCATTAAGGTTTAAAATTACAGTATTTTTCCCTGAGTCGAATTTTGTGAAAATGTAGCCAAACTAAAGAGCAGGAATGTTAGGCGACAACACATTACTTTAAAAAACACAGTAATTATATACCAAAAGATTTAAAAATAAAAATGTTGAGTTTCCTTAAGAATCTTCTAAGAAATCTGGTCTATTATTAAAGAAATACAAATAAACCCAATCAATTTTAATGTTTCAATCCCAAATTAGTTCCAAAATGAGTAAACAATAGTCAAGAATTCTCTGAGATGATCTGGCAAAACTTCTTATGCCATGCTCTATTTTTTTTCCATGAAACAACAACACTTTTCTGACCTTAATTTGGCTTTCAAAAAATTACAGGAAAACAGTTAGAGTTTGGAATGCACTCAATTTTGTTAACCGAATTCGATAATTAGAGATTAAATATTGACAATCATTCTCTGAAGTTTTTGTTTAGTTTACTTAAAAGATTTTTATAATTTCCGACTTCCTGCTAGATGATTTGTATTTCATTTCTTCAACATATTTGTGAGCCGCGAAGAGTGTGGGAGAGAGATTGGGCCTCAAAACTCGTTAGGTCTTCGGTTTTGTGTCTTCGGTTAGGCAATTTGACTCTAAACTGACCTAAACCATCCCACTACTAATGAGCCATTAACACGCTTATCTCACAGGGGGAAGAAACACGGCTTAGAGACCGCAAAGACTGGCCAAAATTGGCCACGCACATGAGATGGGATTTTTATTTTGGCCCACAGAGACTCGGCACGTGAGCGTTAAAAGCCAAAACACTTTGGGGTCAAGCCGGGGAAAATGAAAATGAAAGAGCCAAGCGGCGCGAGTGGAAAATAATATGAATTTCCTCAATTAGATTTCCCAGTCGCTGACCCCAAAGCAGACACGATATAGTAAATCGAAGGAAAACTGGGGGAAAAGACGAATGCAAATCGCATTAAGACGCGCATTTATTCTGCTCCAAGGCATCGCCTTAACCCCGCCCCAAGGAAAAGGGGGAAAACTGGTGGGTGGAGAGGTTGGGGGGTCTGTGGGAAATCTATGAAGAGGGCACTAAAATGTTGCCTTAAACGATTTTCCATTTTCCGCTGGGTCAGCAGGTCAGCGAGTGGGCGAGCGGGAAACCGGGAAAGCGCGCGAGATGAATGCAATATGGAAATCAATAAATAAAAACTACATTTTCATTTAAGTGCAAAGCGAGGAAATGGTTGTGGAAAAGGCCATAGAAAACCCTGTTCAAGTGTCGCCTCCGAAAGTGGAAAATATGTTTTCTCTGCAGTGGAATGCAATATAAATAAATAAGATGACAAGCGAAAGACTCTCTTTCAAAATTTGTTTATAAAAAGTGGGATGGAAACTGAAGTGTTAATGAGAGAAATACTCAAAAAAGGATCCCTAAATTAGGCACTTTAAATTTTAAGGGATATGTGTTCAAAAATTTTTAATACGTTCAAAAAAAACAACTGGCAGAGTTCTTGTCACTTTTTAAGAAACTTTAATATGTAATTAGGTAAAACTATGTGATTTTATGTTTTTAAAAAACAAACAAAAAAGATTTTATAAATATTATGCAAAAAAAATTCTCTCTTCGGTTATGTTACACGCTTTTCTTTTTTGTCCACACGACAATCACATTTTCCATAACTTCTTTTGTATTGCTTACTTTCCTGTTGTCTGCACTTTACCGATATCAAAAAAAAAAACAACCGATTGATAGATAAGTAAAAATCAACCCACGCACATCAATAAAAAAAAACAACAATCCAAAACCACAGTCACAAACACACAGAAGAGAGTAGAAAGGCGAGAGAGAAGAAGAGCGGGAGAGAGCCAATATTAGCGCAGTTATTACGAAATCGCAATCGAAACATAACGGTTGATAGCAAAAAGCACCAACACAATACAGGGAATCGGAGGGGAAAAGTGGGGGGAAAGGAAAAGTTTGGGGAAGGGGAGTGGGTGGTTAAAAAGAAACAAGCGATCGTTCCCTCTTTCTCGCACTCACACTTGCTGACTGCACAAATTGCAGCTAAACGAAAGAAGCAGAGAGACAAAAAGAAAGACAAAGAATAAGAGTAACTGGCCAAGAAGAAGAGAATAAGAACTCAAGAACAAAATAGAAGAAAACACACACACACATGTAGCATAGTGATCAGGAAAAGAAGCGAAAAGAAATAAAGCTAAACATTCTCCTTATTTTTGATCACTTGTTTTTTTACATAGTCACTTAGATATCACATTCTCACTTTTATTGCTGGCAGCCACGCATGCGCCAAATGAGACTTTTCTGCTCCTTTAGTTTCCAATTGGAATTTGTATCCCGGCTGCAAAAACTGTTTTTTTTTTGCTTCTGCTCCACACTACATACACACATGCAGCGGCATATACAAGTGTACTGCAGTTGGCTGCGTTTTTTCAAATCAAAACATAATTTTATGTAAAGGGCCTTCTTTGGGCTGTTTTTTCATCAATTTCCTCACTTTGTTTGCCTTTATTAATTTTTTGGCCTTCCTTTATTTCGGCTTCCTTAATATTTTTCACATGCACTTTTTAGCGACGCCAACACTCACATGCACACGCACACACATGGAGAGGATGAGAAAGAGAGCGAGAGCAAAATTTCCGAATTTCCGTTGCTTCCTTTTTTTCGCTTATTTCTTTTAGCCAAATATTTTTTATTCTGGCTCTTTTTGGCACTTTTAAGCGGCTGAATTGTCGCAATTTACTTGTACAAACAACATTTAACACGATTTAAGGCCCCGACGAGTACGTTGAAAACCTGAACAATTAAACACTAATCAATGTCTGGCCTTGATTTTTGGCTTTATCCGTTTTGGCGCGATTTTATCAGTTTATCATTGTTGAATAAATGATTATTAATTAATTAATTATTTGTTTACCATGTCTCAAATTTTATTAAATTTGCTTCGCACGCGCGCCGCCAACCTCCCGCAACAGAAATAAAATTTAGAGTGACCGCCGTGGCAAAGTCGGAAAACACTTCTACCGACAAAATGAGAGTGACCAGAGCAGACTGGCGATGCCACCCGGAATCTCAGTGTTTGGTTCAGAACTTCGGTAATTAAACGGTGCCCACAACCCGTGCCACAAACCTCTGTACACTGTAAAAATTATTACCTACAGAATCTCCTATTGTGGCTAATCTACCGTTTTTTAAACAGAAATTAAGTTTCTGGATTGACTCCTATAATATAATTTATTATTATTTTTTGGATGCTAAAGTTTTCTATACCGTTTTTTTAATTGGATGTACCCTTCAATATGAGGTAAACTCCCCTTAATTATTTAAAAAAAAAGCTTTTTCAAATGTTTTTTGATAATTTTGTATTTGTTATTTGTTGTCGTTTTTTGTTTCTCTTTCTTTTGTTATTCTTTTCATTGTTAAGTTTTTTATAATTTTATTTACTTTGATAGCGTTTGTTTCCATATACACAAATACATTTAAGTATATAATGATACACGCATATCGCGCATATTAAATCATGTTCGTTTTATATATAGACATTTATTTGTAATTGTTTGTTGTGGCTGTAGATTACTACACGTTTATCCTTTTAGGCGTATTTACGAGAGTATGTAATTATCATAATTTATATGCATCTGCATCTGTGAGTTTGTGTATATGCCTCTGTATCTGTATCTGAATTTGAGTCCGTGTTGAGTGAGGCTTAGCTATAGCGTTCTACATTCACAATTCTTAAATAATCCGTTTTTTTTGTATATATTCTCTTTAAAGTGTAAAGACACTAAATTTCACAATGTTCGATTTGTTTCTCTTCATGGGCTACTACAAAGAGACAATCCCCGCTCTCCAAAATTTCCCGCAGGATGGGATTGGGAGGGTGTTCCAAGCCAGAATTAGCCGAAAAATGTTTGAGGGACTAAAGTTTGTTAGTCGTGTGTTTTGGTAATCGTAGTGTTAAAGTGTCAAGAGTATGTAAATAATTTACGAAAATGTTTGGGCTTATTTATCTCATGTATGTATGTATATAGTTTCTAATGTTATAAAATCTCTAAACAGCCATAAAAGTCAAAAGTTCTTAATCATATCTATCAATTATCTAGACGCTTTTACACTGCCACTAAGTTGACGTAACTTGAGTTAATCATTATCTTTATCGTAATATTTATTTGTATGTTTAGCTTAATTGCTGCCTAACTCTCGTGAAATCGGAACTCGATTGTTATAGGTTTTTATTTGTTGGTTAGGGGGGAACTCTATACATAAATACAAACGTTGCGGCTCATTGTTTCGTTTAGTTAGATTGGATTTGGATTTTGTTTTGCTTTTGCTTTGGTTTGGTCTCAAGACGTTCAATTTAATTTATTTATTACGATTACTTGTATTTGATAAATTAGCTGGCCTCCTAATCTCTATTGGGGGCCCCTCAAAAAGGTACGCATATCCGATTAGTACAGAGAGATATACTTATTACTTCGAGTATATACTATATATTTTGATTTGCATACATCTAAACGCTAGTATCGTTAGCTTATCAAGTACAATGCTAAATGTATCGGTGTGCTTGGTTTTTGATATAAGTTTGAATTTCATTTCCGTTTCATTATCCTTTCGATTTCGATTTCCTTAGGCCTAAATAAGAGAGGACACCAAGTAAAAACATTCAGTACACATTCATAGATACGAGTAGAATACAAAAAAGTCGATTAATTACGATTAGAGATTGGTGTGGTTGAGAGTGTTGGTGAATATATGAAATAGTTGGTGTTGGTGAATCTTCAAGATGTTGTTTGGGGGTCATTTGGAGTTGTGTTGCAGTATTGGTTATGTTTCAGTGCTAGTGAGTCTTGTGTTGGTGTACTTTAAATGAAGTGATGGTGAGTTATTCGTGATGAATAGTTAATGTTGAGTTGTGTTGCAGTATTGATGAACCATTGTAATGCTTTGTAGTGCTTTTCTAGTGTTTTTGAGTTGACTTTGACATCTAGAAGTTTTGGTTGGTGAGTTGACGTTGACGACATTGACTGGTCAAGATCAAATCTCTTCGTTGGCGATCGAAAACATTTATTTGTTGCGGGTTGCGTTCTTGGGACAGGAGCTTCTGGTTCCACATTGCCCGGCAATTCGTTGTTGTCTAACCCAGGGATCCCTTGTTCAAATCTGAGGTCGGGGATTCGTAATCGTAATCTTAGGTAGGTTTCTACAAGTGCTAGGGGAGTCAAGGTCGTACATATGAATATGACTTGGTGCCCACGCAAAAACAAACCCTATATTCTAACGGTGTGGTGAGTGATTCCTTGTCTGTGTTTATGAGTGTGATGTGTTGTGTGTGCGCGCGCTTTGATTATCCGTCTTTGGTTTACTTCCTTTCACTTTGTAATCGAATGCAAAGCCTGGCCTCTACTCGCTATTTTCGCTAATCATATCTGTATATGGATATCAGTAGTCTCTACTCGAGTTCGTATATAAAAATATTTAAATTCTTTAATCTGAAACGCGCAACCGCCAAAGTGCGGACTACCTCTCCGCCATAAGTACATCTATATTTCGTATATGTCGTTTATAAAAAGCAAATCCCATAAAAGTGCTCTCTCTGGTTTATTAAAACATATATTGTTTCGATTACTTTAGCATCACCCAATGACGACGATTCGCTCTGGCGTTTTTAATCTCACGCCTGTTTTGAAATCAGCAAAAAGGTACGATCATTTTAAATTCAATATCTTTACCGTTAGCCGTATGTCTTAGCGTGTATATGTATGTCTATGAGTATGACCTCAGCTTTAGCTGCTATTTATCATATTTCGTGTATATATATAACGTATTTTGTTGTCTGTTGTTTGGTTTTTCTTTAGGTAGGAAATATGCTAGTCTTATAAATTTCACACATCAACATTTCGGTTATCGTTAAGATCTCTTGCCTAGGAAATAATTTCTTAATTAATAAAATATATCTGCATATATATCGTAGATTAATCTGTGGTAATCTGTGTGTATTAAAAACATCTAATGTCAATCCGAACCACAATTGTTGAAGAGAGTTTTAGAAAGTTCTTCAAGTGAAGGAAACACAGGAAGAGTATATTAATATCGTAATCAAGTTACTGGTAGCCTACTAAGTCGGTATTATCCGTTTAATTTCTCATTATGCTAAGTTTGGAGAGGGCCCCTGCTAATTGTTTGGATCTCGCTCCAGCTGTCCGAAGTGCGTTTATTTTCAGTTGTTCAGGTCCAGCTTAAACGAAAGAAATCTAATTATGGACGGGTTCTTATCAATCTTGTTTGTCAACTCCTCTATATATTCTACCATCTGAATATTACAGATTGGTTGGAAATTTCCGGTTTCGGTTCGGTTCGGTTGGGGCTTCCTTCGTTCTCTAACTTGCTTTGTTTTGGTAAATGCAAAACAAAATATCTTTACTTTCCGGTAAAAGCTCATCAATTGTTGGTCAATCAAACAACTTCGTGGGGGTGGTTCAAAGTTCAAACTCTAAAGTTCAAGGTTCAAAGGGGTGTGGCGGGAGCGTGCGAAATCAATCTATAATCTGCAGAAACCTGTTTGGTCTTTAACTAAATCTAAATCAGCTGAAGCTAGCCTCTTTAACTCTAAAATTAAATTGTTGCACAATTGATTTGACTGGCCGATCGTTATCGATATTATTGCACAATAACTACGATTATTATTAAGTTCATTCACTAATCGTTTAAACTTAAAAATTATTTACTCCTTTGTAATTTGGTGGGATATATGTTGTATTTGTTGTTGTTGTTCATCATCATCATCTCCTTTTATTTTTGATTTTATGATCTTTATAGCACTAAGAAATAATAATTATAATTATAATAAGAATAAAAATAATTTAAATTAAGAAAAACGAAAATTATGATGTCTGTTCATATATATATTTACGATTTCTGTATTTTGTAGGATATATAATAGTAAGCAATATATATGGTGTATGTTGTGGCTATTTTCCATTATACATTAAATGATATATATATTAAACAAAGTTAAGCAGAGAAACAAAGTAAATTAAAAGTAAATTTAAATGGTTAAAATAGTACAGTAAAGGCAACTCATCCTTAAGTATGATTAAACAAGTACATATGAAATATTGTAGTAAACACCGATCAGCATTTATCGCTCTATAGTATCGTATATCATAATTTTTTGTTGGAAATCGAGAGGACGACGAGTACAAATATTAAGGCTACACAGTTAAAACATTTCTCATTTAAATATATACGTATATTAGAGTTTTTGTGGGGATCGGATCGGATTGGATCGGATCTTTCCGATCGCCTCCTCTTAATCCCTCTTAAATACAAATCTTTCGACAGTGGGCCACAAACGTCTTCGAGCGACCGAGACCCAGCTGACTGCTTATTGAGTGTTTAATATACGTTTAATTTGTTTGTTGTTTTCAGTTTTTCTAAATATAAATGTAATTTGTTGGTTGTTAATATAAATTTAATTTGTCGTTTAATATAAAGTTAATTTGTTTGTTTGTTGTTTTCATAAGTCTATTAACGTTTCGTTTTTGTTACATTTAAAGCGTTCTTGATTTGTTTTCTTGTTTTTTTTTTTCGATTTTGCTTTCTTTTTGATGCTCCTAAACATTGAGTAGAAAGTGAAGAAAAGTTCCTCTGCCGTCGCAGATATCTAGCATATTCGTTTATAATATAAATTTGCACACTGAGTGGGTGCAGGACAAGAAACACAAATCGGAAACACAGATCGCAACTTTTCCGCTGACATACTAAACGGTCACACAGCGGTTGTTATTCCTTTTTATTCAATACCCATGCTTATTTAACTATATATATTTTAGTTGAATGGTCCATAAAATTTCTATAAAAAAAGAACTTGTTGAATACATCTATGTCTATTATCTAGATAAGGTTCTCTCGACTTTAAACAAGAATCTTAAATCTGCCGAGCTGTGGTTTTCGCTTATTGTTTTTTACAATTGTTAGCTGCTGGTTGCCGTTATTGTTTATACACAAAATATATCCATAATTCTTTTTGTTTTCCGTATTTACTCGTATATATTCACAACACTAACGTTTCTTAATTACGCCTATGCATGCTAATTTCTCATCCTTCTTCTACTACAAAAAGTGTTTTTTTTTCGGTTGTTTAAAAGTTATTTACTTGGTTAAAAAAACGATTTGTTATCGTGCTAACGCTATTGAATTCTGCACACTAATTAGTTAACATATAGATGCATATTCCGTCTCCGTATCCGCAATGGGTTATTCATAATTTTAGGTAATTTCTATTCGCCGACGACGACGACTGACAAAAAACTTTCTGCTCCACTCTTGCTTGTTAAAAACTACATCACAATAATTATATGCTAGATCCTTTTCGTCGGAGTTAATTTATCCCGATCCCGGTCCCGAAATCGCTACTGTACACAGCTGAACTAGGAAGGGGCGGAGAGGATGGTAAATTAACTTCTGCTCTGTATCAGTATCAGTATATATTTCTTTATATAGGAAGGGACACCCTCCAAGTGCCGATTTCTCAAAGTCACATTAAGTCGACAACTGAGAAATCGGCCCCAAGAGAACCAAAAATATTAGTTGCTGCTCGGTTATTTTATACGCGACAAGTTAAGTTTAATTCTAACTACGAAATACTTTAGGAAACCTATTTAACAAGATTTAGTTTATATTTTAAATATAGGATTTAGTGGGCGTGTTTAAAGTAAGCCAGGTTTGTACAAAATTGCGTTCTCTATCTATTTACAGATTTTCTCTGGGGAAAAAGCCTAAAACAAGGGTTTGTAGTGTGGGGGGATGGGGCCAACTCTAAAAGTCTAAACTGCTAGATTGCTTTTTATTTTTGTTTGGTTTTGTACTTTAGTAAACTTTCTGAAGCGTTTCTCTAGTCGAAAGAATAACTAATACGTAGATCTTGTTTTGGGACACAGATGGGTTAAAAATAAATGTGAATTTTAAAAATTAAACGGATTGCAGAAGCAAGCCCGGTTTCTCGACTGCTAGTTAAAATTTCAGGCAGTTATAAAGTGCCGGTTAAGAAATTTTCTAAACCCTAACTCGCATTTGAGAAACCCGTACTTAGCAACGCTGATTAGTTTAAAAAAATCGGACTTTAGTTGGACTCCGGCTAGTTCTAGTATCGATATCTATGCAATTATATACAATTGTTCCTATAAATATTTGTTGTTGCTCGTTAAACATAATTTAGAATTGTTATTTGTTGTATGTTAATTGTTAATCGTATTTGTAATTCTTTTCGCGGCTATTCCTATGAGTGAGTTACGAGTGTGTAAAAAACGTTTGCCATCTAACCTCCTTGCCCCGTGTTCTATTCACTATATCTATGAGCTATGTAATTGTTAGGTTCTCTTTGTTGATATCTCCTAGGGTTATCTATTTTATTTGCTTTTTGTTTGCTAGTAAGGTTTTTGCGGTATTCAATTTGTTGTGGTTCTCTACTAACCTCCTCTAACACTAATCCTGCGTCTTCATCTTCATTTATATCTTCATCTTCATCTTCAGTTTCAGTTTCATCGTCATCTCGTTTTGTTTTGTTGCTTGTTTGTGTAAAAGGCAAATTGCATAACAATGTTGTTTATTTGTTTTTCTGGTTGCTGATGCTGTTGCTGCTGTTAAGTTTTCGTTTTCGATTTTCTGAGGTACTTGCTAGGGAATTTCGAAGCTTTCTCTTAGTGGCTTTTCAGCCTAATATGTTGCAGTTTTTCGGCATGCCATAGAATCTAGTTCCTTCTTTTGCTCTCTGGTTGATATATAGTATTCGTAATAATAGTGTTACATATGCGTGTATATAATATATAAGTGGATTATAGAGAATATTATGTGGAAGTTATCAATAAAACACACAACACACATTAATGAAACGCTTTCGTTTTGAAGAAAAAAAACCACTCTCGATATATGCCTCTAATTTGCATACTTTGAGGGTATTTGAAGCTATAGGCTGTAGTGTGTGTTTGTGTGGGTGTGGCGTTGTGCTAAATACCACACAACATGCAAAAAGTTAGCCTGAGCACTGTACACCCAGCTGCGTGTAGGAGTGCTGTACATTTATTTTTTAATATTATTAAAAAATAATAAAAACTAATAGAAATGGTTATCGGTAAGTGGTAATCAATGAATCAATGGTGAGATCCAGTGTTGTATCTCGAAAAACTAACTGAGAACTGGCGACGAGGAGGGGGACTTTGGATTTGGAGCCTATTGTTTTCGGCGTGCTTTACGTGATGCTGTTGTTGCTGTTGATGTTGCTGCTCCTGCTGCTGCTGCTGCTGTATCATCGCTGCCTGACTGCAACATGGAGTTGTTGTGGATGATGGTCTGCTGCATAAGCAGCATGAACCACCAGAACTGCTGTTGCTGCAGCTCTTGGCTCTGCTCCGGGTGATCAACAGCCTCGTCCGAGGCCACAAACGATCTGGGAATAAAAGAAGAATATCCATACATTAGCTCCAAGTTTTCGACTAGTCTGAAATCTGATTTCGGCTGGGCATCCCGGCACTTTCGACTCACTCGAGCGTTGAATCATTCAATCGGGCTCTAGTAGCTCAAGATCATAACAACAGTGGTCGTGGTGGTGGTGGTGGTGTGCGGTTGGTGTGTGCTTGGGTTGACCTTGATTCTTGGTTCTTGGCTCTTGGCTGCTGGTGGATGCACATCCTCGTCCCTGGTCTCTCCTCATCGCCCCTGTCCCCGCCAACTCCCAACTTCGTCGGCCTACTCAGCCCCATACCATATGTTGGTGGGCGCGAAGTGCGCCGCGTGTTTGCTGGCGGCTACCTGGGCAGGACTGAGCGGTCCAAACTGGCTGTACTGGGTGGGTATCTGGATGTGCGCCGGCAGCGGGTGTGATGGGATCACCTGTGGAGAAAACAAAACGTAGAAATTAGCTATGATACTTGCTAGATTACTGATAACTAAGTATCTGAAATATTTAATTTAAATCTATACCATATTGAACTTTATCGTATAATGCATATTAAACAAAAAGGCTAAATTTTAAATAAATATAAATATATAAAACTATCGATATGCAAATCATGTACTAATTTCTTTTCCTTAAAAAAAAAAAAAAAGTACTTTAATGAATAAAACAGGACAAATGACACTTGACTTGACTTGACTTTGTATTTTAAGTACTTAAAACACTTAAAAACCCATAACATTAGTTTTAATCAAAATGTAATAGAAATTAAATCCAAATCTAAGGAATGGCATGTAAGCTATTTATCTCAATGGGCCTAAGATCCAAAACATGAACTGTTTATATTTTTTTTAGGACACTTTATCACTACTGCCAGGCGTTAGAAATGAAAACATTTGTAAATAATACAGTACAGATGGATTATATAAGTCTCTATTGACATTTTGTACGAATAAGCCTGCACTTTTTAGAAAGTCTCATTTTGTTGTCCTGAATTGAAGTATAATCATGTTTTTCTGAACCCACCTGACGACTGGAGCTGTTGTGGGCCGGAGGTGGGGCCACTACCGCCCTATTCGCGTAGGCGTACGCCGTGGGCGCCGCCTGCGAGACAAACACCGTGGGCCTGCGGTAGATGTCGCCCTGCGCATAAATGTCCGGCTGCAGCAGAGCGGCCGCCGCCGTCGAGGATGGCGATCCGCCCAGCGGAGTTCCGGCCTGGTGATGATGGTGGCCATGGCTCTGGTGGTGGTGCGGATGTGGTGGCGGAGCCTGGTTGCTTGGCAATCCCACGCTGCCCGGTGGCGGCTGCGATGGCTGGCGATAGACCTGCGGCGGACCCCACGACGGGGGACCCACACTGGCCGCTGCTGCTGCAGCTGCCGCAGCCGCTGCTGCTGCCGCCGCACTGATCGAGGAGGACGAGGAGGCGGCAGAGCTGCTCTTGGAGTGGGCCAGGGAGGAGCCACGCCCGAGGGGGGCCACATAGCTGATGGGCGCCACCGAGGGAGCCTCCCGCTTGGGATGGGCCAGCGGTAGGCCTGCTCCCGAGGAGGTGGGCGCCCACGAGGAGCGCTTCGTGTCCAACTGCTGCGGCGGCGGAGCAGCTGCATACTCCGGATAGAACTCGGCCGGCTCCTGCTTGGTGGGAATGTGCGGCAAGCTGGCCGATGAGGGCGGCGGCTGGCTGGGCACCTGCGGCTGGTAGCCACACTCGCTCTGGGCCATGGCCAGGATGCGCTTCTTCTGGGATTGGCCCGGCTCGTACTTGATGCTCGGCTGCGGCTGGCTCATAACCTGTTGCGGAGGTGGCTGCGGCTGATACTGCTGCTGCTGCTGCTGCTGCGGATGATTTGGCTGCTGGTGCGGAACAGACTGCTGCTGCTGCTGCTGTTGATGATGATGATGATGCTTGGGACTTCCCACGGCGGCTGCGGCAGCGGCATGATGACGACGTCTGGCATCCTCCGGATCATGGTCACCTACGGTTACGCATGGAATTACTAGCTGGACGTGCGATGGCTTATGGCGACTGAGATGCGACTGAGATTGAGATTGGGAGGAGCTGGGGCAGTGGACAGGGACAGGGACTGGGACATGGGCAGGGGCACCAAAGGAGGAGGAGGATGAGGAGGTGGGATGATGCTGATGGTGACTGGAAGTGGAAGCAGACGTGGAGGAGGATGTGGACGTGGCTTGGTAATGAGGATGAGTCGTCGCCGGCTGTGGCTGAGGCTGAAGCTGTTGCTGGTGCTGAAAATGAGCTCCCGATCCCGATCCCGCTGCTGATCCACTTCCACTCGCTGACTGATGAGGCGGATTCAGATTCAGATTCAGATGATGAGACGGATTCAGATGATGAGGGTGGTGGTTGTGGTTGTGGTGGTGACTACTGCTACTGTGGCTACTGTTACTGCTATGGCTACTGCTATGCTGGCTACCCTTGCCGCTGCCGGTTCCCAGTTGATTCTGATTCGGATTCTGAGTCTGATTCTGGGCATTACCATAAGTGATCTGCTGCTGCTGCTGTTGCTGTTGTTGCTGCTGCTGCTGGGGATGTGAATGCTGCTGCTGCTGCGGCTGCTGGTGGGCACTATTCCTGCTGCAGGAGGAGCTGGGTGCATGCTGCAGCAGGCTGCTGCTGGTCTGCGACTGAGCATGAGCCCGCTGCTTTAGCACCGGCACCTGGACTCCTCCACTTTCGCCACCCTCATCCTCGCTGTCGGAGATCGTAATCACTGCCGTGGGCGAGGGCGTGTCGTGGATCGTGATCGTCGGCTGCTTCACGTGCTGCGCGTGCTGCGGATTCTGCGTATGCGGATGTGGCTGCTGTGCATGCGGATGCTGCTGGTGGGCATGTGCCGGCGGCTGTTGGTAGACCACAGCTCCTCCTCCTCCGCCTGCGGCTCCGTTGGCGTTGCAGTTGCTCACAATGTGGTGGCCCGAGGAGGTGCTGTACGGCTGGGCATGGGCCACAGGGACATGATGATGGTGCGAGCTCGACGAGCTTCCGTTCACAATATCTGCGGCGGAGGGATAAGATATCAAGTTAGTAGGTATTCTTCTTTACTTGAACAGCTCTTTAGCAAAACAGCTCGAGTTATCAATCCGATCCGGACTTAATAACATAATAGCTCAATCTTTAGAATGGATATGAGAAGTGTCAAGTTGCAAAAGCAATTCAATTCGAACTATATTTTAATTAATTTCTATGACAGACAAATTAATTAAGCTGAAGAATTTGCACATATACACACAAATACGAAGTGTTCATTCAAAGAATTTGCTTTAAATATTTAAATTTCTTAAACTATTAAATAAAATATTTAACAAGAGCTGTTTATGTTCGAGTAAGTTAATTGCTCGATCAGTTCATGAATCAATGACCTATGATTGCAAAGTAATGACAAACAGATCCAGCTCTAGATCGAAGCTGATTCTTAAGTCAACTCGTGCTGGTTACTAATAGATATCCTTGTTCCTTATGTATTTCGATAGTTTCAAAATAGTTTCAAATCGAAATGCATATGGCCTGGATTGAACTTGGTATTCCATCTGCACTCACTGCTAGCAGAGGCAGCCGAGGAGGCCACCACCGATCCCGCACTGGCGCTGTAGCCACCGCCGTTCCCATAGTTGCAGTTGTGGTGCGTGTGGTACTGCGGCGAAACGTGGGCGGTGCGCTGGTACCGCTGCTGGTGGGGCGGCGAGCTCTCCTTCACCCGCTTCTTCACCGGCGACAGCTGCTGGTGCTCCTTCTTCTCGTGGCGCGGCACGCGATAAGAGTTGCCCTTGCTGGAAGATAAAGATTATCATTAGAACGTAACTACGAAATTATACAAAATAAAATCTCGGAAAACAGCCAATTAGGGAATACCCCTATTCCCGAATTACTCACGCTATATGATGAGCCGGCGACTCCTTCTTGAGATCATTGCGTGGCAAATTGAGGTGATGCTTGGGATAGATCTCTTCCACATTGAACAGCGGCGTCGAGTCCACGATGAGCGAGTGGGCGGGTGCCTGCTGGGGCCACGATGGCACCAGGGCCATCTGCCTTCCAGTTTGGGGCCATGCCACTCCGCTGGCCTGCACCCGATTCGTGAGGAGCATCCTCTGGCCAGAGGTGGGCTCCACCATGGAAACCGGCACCGGCACATTGACATACTGCTGCGGCGGCACCTGCAACGGAGGCTGCATGGTGGCGCTGCCCACCACCACGTGCTTGGTGGGACTGGGCATCGTTTGGTAGGAGGGCGGGCACAGGATGTTCGACACCAGCTGGTGCTGGAAGCTGTCCGTCCGCGCCTGCGGATACTGCCGGGCCACACTGCGTCCGTTGTAGATCTGGTACAGCCCCTCGTAGGCCAGCGGACGGCCATCGCGAACGAGACGTTGCACCTGGCTGGTCAACTGGTTGTTGATCGTGAACGTCATGTTCTCGGTGCTCGAGGGCACAAAGTTAGTGACCAGCGTCGACGCGGGTTGTACTCTGTAGGGGATGATAAAGGGGTTCAATAACACTCTGCAACATTTCCAAGGTTTTGACGAGTAACCGCAATTTGTACTTCGGATTCTGAAAGTGCGCATTTGGGTTTCTTATGGGCTAGCTTGCTTTGTGCCAATGCAAGGTCATAAAAGTAAAAGGTTGATTGTATTTTATATGCATGGCCTAAGCAATATCGTAGACATAAACTTAAGGGTATACAAGGCATAACAAACTTAAAAAAAAAAAAAATAAATAAAAAGTATTTAGTATACTTAGTATACATAATATACTTTTCATAAAAAAGCTGTGTGTGGTTATCGGCTTAAAGAGATATAAATCCAATTATGCTTATGTTGCTTAATATTCAAACGCGAGAAAAAAAACTCTAAAATAAAGATTGACTAGCTTTGATAAGTTCTTTAAGAATCTGAAATCCAAATCGCGGTTTATTTTTCGTGTTTTATTGTGCAATATTATTTTTTCACCCAAGAGCTCCTCTACTTACGTGTGGAAATCGCCGCGTCGGCACACCTCCATCATCTGCACGGATGCCTTGACATTGTTGCAGTAGACATAGTCCACCAGATGGGTCAGACGTGTAAAGGAGTGATTCAATGCCTCGGCGGGCGTTAGACGCCGCTCCTGGTCAATGGTCAGCATGCGCTTCAGCAGATCTATGAACTCCCGACGGTCCGTCTTCTCGGCCAGCAGCTGGCCACCTTCCAGATCAGTGGGCACATTCACCTGTCCAATGTCATCGAGACAGTTGAAGATGTACTTGCGCGCCTCCTTGCTCTTGGTGTTCGTCTCGGCCTCGTGCTCCTCGGTGGTCTTCAGCCGCCAAAAGGGATACGTGGAGTCCACGTCGCGGTAGAAGAACTTCGAGGTCTTCGAGGCGCTGTTCAGCATGTGCTCCGTGGGCAGGCCCTGCGTCTGCGAGATGTAGCGGATCTGGTCGAACTCCGAGCTGCCCGGATAGAGCGGCCAGCCGAGGAAGAGTTCCGCAACCACGCAGCCCAGGGACCACATGTCGATGGCCTCGCAGAAGGGCAGGCCCAGAATGATCTCGGGTGCTCGGTAGTAGCGCGACTGCAGGTACGTATTGCAAACCGTCTTGCTCACATGCGAAGCGCTGCCAAAGTCGATCACCTTGACGCGATAGGGTTGACGCACTGGATCCACCAGCATGATATTCTCCGGCTTCAGGTCGGCATGGATCAGGCCCAGTTGTTTCAGCTTCAACAGGGCAGTCAATACCTGAATAAGCAGGACATAAGTTTGGAGTTCGATTGGATAAGTTTGGAGTTAAATAAGACTTACCTGCTCCAGAATGGGTCTTATATACTTGAGGGGCAGCGGCGAAAACTTGTTCTGCTTGAGGAAATCATAGAGGTTCTGCTCCAGCATCTCAAACACCAGGCAGGTGTGGTTTTTGTGCTGAAAGCACTCGAAGGCCCGCACAAAGTTGAACTCGTCGGCATTCTCCTGGCTGAGTCGCGACAGGATGGAGACCTCGATCTGTCCTTGCCGCGCGTACGAGGGATGGTTCTTCAGGATCTTAATGGCCACGATCTCGGAGGTGCCGCGCTTCCAGCACTTGACCACCTGGCCAAAGGTGCCGCGGCCCAAGAACTCCAGGACCTAAAAGTTGGGAAAAATAAGGGTTAAGATCTAAGAAAAAGGAACTATATAGTCGAGTGCCCCGACTATTAGATACCCGTTACTCAGTTAACCAATATATATCGGAATTAAGGTGGCGCCATCTGTCAAACTACAGGGTCACTACTACTTGCTCTATCAAATTTGTATTATTAAAATTTAGTTTTTCAATAACTTATTAATTTAAATGGTTCGATTTGGAAAAATTTTGAGGTGTCAATATTTGGCTTCTACAATGACTCACTGTAACATGAAAGAGTTTCGAGATTTGCTTTTCGTTTGCTTAGCTAGAATCTGCACGTTAAATGTGAAATCTCTGGCTTTTATAGTTTCCGTGACAGACAGACGTACAGGACTAAATGGACTGGCTTCTCATCCTGATCCAAATATATATATGTACATAAATTATACTTTCTTAACGGATATAAAAATACAGATATGGAACTGAAACCCACCTCATACTCCGCCGATAGGGAGTAGAGCACCTCGTGCTGCACCAGCTGGTAGTCGCCATCCGCGCCACTACTTGACCTTTTGCTGGGGGGCTGCGTGTTGGCATGACCCCCCGAGGTGGCGACCTTTGTGTGCGCCGTCTTGAGGCTGCTGATGGGCCCGGTTCCGTCTGATCCTGATCCTGCTGCCGATCCTCCAGATCCTGCTCCCGCTGCTGCTGACGAGTTCTGCTGCACTGGCGGGCCGTGGCTGGAATTGTATGAGTCTACGCAGCCGCAATCACAATCTAAAAATGGTTGCAAATAATACACAATAGTTAGTTAACGATACAATTATTATCTTACAATTTAAGATTATCTACTACCTCTTCTAAGTAATCGTCTTATGACTAAGGAGATCATTGTTCTCTGTTTTTGCCTTTCTTCTGCTTCTTTGTCGGGGAAAATTTCCTGCTGTCACCTTTTTTGGTTTCAGGCAATTTCGCTACCTCGCAATTGTGCCGCTGAAATGCAACTGAACGCAGTTCTCAGACGCACTCAAATATGGCTACGACATATAGAATATGTATCTCTGCACTCATCAGCATTTGCGACTTGTCAACGCCCCCAACAAAGCGGCGAAGAAAGCGCCGAAAAAAGGAAAAATGTTATGGGAATTGGCCAACAATCATGAAGATGACTAAGTAAATGGGTGGACAGACAGGGAAGTGGAGACATTCGCCAGACAATGAGCAAGGTGCGTGGATAATATTCATATGCTCTAATAATAGAAACCAGTCCCAGTAGACAACAAATCGTTTACAGAAAACTTGCATTAGTTTCTGGAATTTTAGATTATTATTAATTTGAAAGATGGTCCCAACCGCAAGTGTGTCTTGAAAATAATGGAGTCTCACTTTTAAAGACATCCTTTAAGAATTTAACTGAGTGGCTCTAAATTAGATGGTTGATGTTTGTTTCCGAGGGCCTGAGTACTCTGACAAAAACATCCTCACGGCAAACACAAGTCGAGTTTCTTGCACACCATCTGGCGACCCATACCCATCCATCCCATTTCGGTTGACTTCCCGCAGTTGGGCAACTAAAAATAGAAGCAGTTAAGTAGCCAGCTTCATATCAACGTCCCAACCTTCACGTACTCACATAACTTAATTAATTTACGTCAAAGGACATTTGATATGAATAGGAAGCAAGAAGGGGCATAAAAACAGCGAAAGGCGAAAGGCAGAACCAATCCCACACACTCTGGCCCAATTATATAGACCAGGAAAAGGAAAAAGGCGCTTTTCCTGGGCCTTCACAAATGGTCACCCCCGTGGGCGTGGTCAGCCTGGGAAAAGCTGGAAAACTGGACACAACGGCGAGGAGTGAAAGGCAATCGAAACTAAAATTAAGGACACACGCGATGAAAACGGAGACGACGAAGTGCGGTGGAAAATTTATGGCACCAACTTGAAGTCGCCTCAGCAGTAAATGAAATGAGAACTAAATGCAATAAATTATGCAAAATGTGGGACAAAAAAAAAAAGAAAAAAGTTGAACTTCAAGTTGAAATCCGAAATTCAAATGGAAAGGCAAGTAGCCGCCAATGGAGGTCACCGCGAAGGCAAAAGTTGGCGGCGGAGGCAGCGAAGGTCAAATCGAAGGTTGCCCAGATGCAAAAGCCTCCTATTCTGCCTCCGTCCGCCCACATATTCGATTACGCTCTCTCTTAGACAAGTTCTGCTCCTGGCAAGGACTTCTTGCACAACGCTCACGTGGCAACAGCTCTAACTGCATCATCATCCTGCCACCAGCAACAAGTTATGTCAAAACACTCGGAGAAAATGTTCCAAGCACTGGTTTGGTTTTTTGGTTTTTTAGATTTTGACAACTGTAAGTATCTTAGCACTTTAAATATGTTTTAAATTGAATGGAAAATCGAGCAAACATTTTTTTGGGACTATAAACCAAGACTGAAATATATTAATTTGTATTTATTTTGATATGTATAGAAACTATTGATTCATTATATAATTAATTATTAATTCATTTTGCGAGTGCACATCCAGCACAAAAGTTTGCCAGCGTTTGACATCATTTGTCCCTTGGGTTACACAACGCTGCAGCAGCGCCGGGAGAAAAAAAGAAATAATAAAACCGATTTTGTTTACGCAAATCTCAGCAGCGGCAGCAGCAGCAGCAGTAGCTGAAAATCAGAGATGCGGAGGAGAAGCGGCAGCGCCAAAGTTGCAACGTGACGCAGTTTTAGCAAACAAAACGAATCTGCGCTGCCTGCGGTTTCTATTCGTATTTGTGTTTTAGTCTCTTCCCTCTTCACTGCGTTTTAGCAATTTCTGTGTCTGTTGCATAAAAGATTCAGCCAACTGTAAATGGGGGTGGTGGAAGGGGTGGAGGGGTGGGGGTGCATGAACCTAAAAGGGGGCGTCGTATCGAATGATTTGCGGGGGCGTTTTGCCTGATGCATCCGATCAACTCTCATAGGTCCGAAATCGAATTGGATTCGCTCTGCCAGCTTTGTTTAAACAAAAAGTTGAGCCTTTGAGTTTGCTGATATGATTGAATCAAACGGGAATTCAAAGTTCTTCAGCAGCACTATCACTTGTTTTATTGCAAAATGCAAGAAAAAAAAAATGTATTACTAGTAGGAAATACTTTTAAGTCCCTTGTAAGAAATAATTGGCCAAATTTAAATTGGTTTGTGTGTTGGTTTTGTATTTATCAAGAAATGTATTTATTAAGAAATGTATTCATGAAACATTGTAAGCACTTCTGAAGTTTATATTATTACTTTTCCTTCTCCAAAACTATAAGCTTCAAATATTTATTGTACATGCACTTCCATATACCGCTGGGGGTTACTTAAATAGTTTTTTTCCATTGGATATAAAAGTTTTCCAGTTTTGATAATTTTATATGGTTCCAAGAAACGTTAACCCTTTGGTGCCTAAAGGCCACTGGAAATGGTACTGTGGGGCACCACCGAGTGGTTCCCAGTAACCGCTATCGCTGACGGTGTGTGCTATCGGTTAATGGTCGATCGCACAACAAGTTCATTGTGGTTTTTAAGCAGAAAACTGATAAATACTCTGGCACTGTGTGACTGGATGGGAAATGGGGTTGGGTTCGGATTGCTCGACTTGACAATGGGTTTTTGTTGCCGTTATTGTAGTAATCATATTGTACAACGGCACAGCTATCCAGTCAATAATTACAAACTAATCCATACAGTCCTCGTGCTGTAATTGCTAAATTTTCGATTGAAACATTGGTAGGGATAAGTCGGTTGTTTAACAAATAAATAAGAAACTTGTTAAACAAAAAAAAAATACATTTTACATTTTGTAGCTATATGACAGAGAAAGTTTTGAGAATTTTGTGGCTTTATGGCGTGTGACTTTCCTCCACTCAATTTATATGCTGCGTTGGTTGTTTAGCCCTTTTTATGGTTTCAAAGCTAAAATGCAAATTCACCACTTTAGTTTGTGCTTTTGTCAAAATGCAGCCAAAAACCTTGCAGCGGAAGTTAAACAAAGCAAAAAGCGAGCATAATTATATTACCGGCGAGAAATTCAAAATAAATTATTTACAAAACGGAAGCGGAAAGGCGCTAAATGAAAAAGCACAAAAAGAAAACAAGAGGTAAGGCAAACGGGCTAAAAAACAATATAATACATCAGCAGACAGAGGTGCGGGGGAGAAAATGGTACAAAAGCAACAGGTTAGTTGGCTTGGACCCAACTTGTCTGAACTCCGGCTTTATATAGCTCCTGCTATTGCTGTTTTTGTTGCTGTTATTGTTGTTGTTGCTATTGCTGCAGTGCGTTTGCCGCATATTAAATGCGCTGATTAATCGACGCAAACAATAAACAAGGTATGGAGACTAGGGAAAAGCGGAGAGTCGGACAAGAAAAACGGGCACAAGACCCGGGAGGAGCTTACACTGATAAACCAATAATTAAAAAATACATTTTAAATAAAAATATTTGGTCTCTTTATCGCAAAGCAATTACCATTTTTAAATTCTTTTAAGGTAAAACCTGAATTTCTTTTGAAATGGCTTTGTTACCAGATTTTTAAAGTTACAGAAAATAAGCTTCAAATATAATAGGGCTAAACTCAATTACAACACAATACAATTGATTTAGATAAACTCAGCTACTTAGAGAACAAATAATTTAAACTTAAAAATTGTTTACTTATTAAGAATAAAACCATTTAAAAAAGTTGCCGATAGAAGAAAGAAAATATTCAAAAAATAGGAATTATTCTGAAGAACAAAAAAAAAAAAAATCAACTCCATCCAAATTTTTATGATTACAGCTATTACAATTAAGCAGCTTTTATTGTACTGTAATCGTGGCTACCAAAATGGTATCTTTGCATATATAATAACACTATTCCATACCGAAATTGGATCGAAAAACAGAAATTAAGGTAGCAGCAATGAAATCATATATTGCTGTAATACTATAATTTCGGTTTCGGTGTATTGCAAAGTCATGAGGGAGGGGGCTGTAAAGGGGGTGGGGTTTTGGATCGAAAGGGGATGGTTGGTTGGGTGAATAGAGGGGGCTGGCGGGTGGGAAGGCAGTATAAATATTTGTCGTTGCAATGAGAGCAATGCACGGGCAAGCATTTCCACTTGTCAACGCACCTGACGATGCCAAAAACAACAACAACAACAAAGGTGGCACCTACAAAACACGAACCTACACGAACCAAACAAAAAAAAAAAAAAAAAAAAAAAAAAAAAAAACAAGTTCCAGAAGAAGCAGAAAAGCGGCAGCGACAATTGCTCTGCCAACAATGTTGCCGGCGACCTCTCCACCCCTTTTTGTCCCCCCAAATCCCCTTCTATACCCCATTTCCACCCTTCCCCCCTCTGCAATCAGTATGAAATGGGAGCAGGCAGAACGTGCAAGAACAACGGAGAAAGTTTGCGTTGAAATTCAAGAAAGAAGAAAGAGACGTGGAAGGCAGAGCAATTACCAGAAGCTTTCGTGATTCTTCTGCTGCTGCTGTTGTTGCTGCTGCTGTTGTTGCTGCTGCTTCTTCTGATTGTCATTATTATGGATGTTGCTGCTGTTGGTAAAGTTGCTGGTGTTGCTGTGGGACTTTCCACATGTATTGCAGATGCATTTGCTGATGTTGCATCTCATGCTATTGCTGCTGTTGCTTTTCCATTTGATGTTGCTGCTGTGTTTTTTATAGTTTGCTGATGTGTTGCTTCTTAGTACATTGCTGCTGTTTCGTACATATGATGTTGCTGTTGCTGCTGTGTTTTCAATAGTTAGCTGATGTTGCTGCTGTTGCTTTTTATATATGATTTTGGTGTTGTTGCTGTGTTGCACATAGTTGGCTGAAGTGTCTCCTGCTGCTTCTCATTCTATTGCTACCGCGTTTTTTAAAGTTTGCTGATGTTGCTTCTGTTTTTATTGCTTAGGTGCTCTTTCTATTTCTGCCGTTTCTAAAACTTATTTTGCTTTTGCTGCTATATTTTCTACTACTACTACTGTGCTTTTCACATATCTAGATTTTGCTTTTGGTAATGTTGCTGCTATAGCACTATAGTGTTTTTTCAGTATTTTATAAATCTATTGCTTCTGTGCTTTCAATATTTGCTGCTGTTGTCCCTGTTCTATAGCTTACGTTTGATGTTGCAGGTTTATTTGAGTTAGGTATTGCTGCTGTTGTTGCTGTTTTTATATCAGTGCCCTAGCTGTTATTGCTTCTTCTGCTTATGTTTCTGACTTTGGATTTGCTGTTGGCGTTGCATATTTCATGGCCTGTGTTGCATATTTTAACACCCGATGCCAAACATGCTTGCATTTGCATACCCAACCAGCAACTCAACCACTGTAGTATTCTCGACCACAATCAGCAGATCAAGTTGTCCCATGGAAAGAGGAATAAGTGAGGTGAAAGAAAGAAGCAGCGAGCGATCTTTAAAAATTGAGATAATGCCAAAAATGGCACTCGTGCAACAAATTACTGCGACATGTTTGCTGCTGCACAAAGAAGCGGGGCATGGAAAAAAAATGTCGCCTTTCTAAAAAACGAAGCAGAAAAAATCACATAAATAACTCGGGTACTTTCACAATAACGAGTAAAAGAAGATGATCAAAAAGATCATTATATTTTCGGTTTAGAGGAAAGATCAACAAGCTTTATAGCATATACACTTTTAACCATAAGATATCTGAAGTTTATAATAACGACAGATCTCCAATTAATCTGTGATCAACTCGTTTGCTAAGCTTCTCTCCTTTTTTAATCAACGCAATGTTTTTTTCAGGTTCTCCCACTTAATCGATGTGTGTTATCTCAAAGTGAGTAGCCACCAAGTCAGACAGGTTCTCAATTCAATTCAAAATGAATCGTTAATTCCAGCTCAGCATGGCATCGATGGATAATGATGATGATTGAAAAACGATGACCAGGCAAAAACAGCTGGCGTTGCATGCAACATGTTGCCAAGAAATGCAATTTACATATTTTCCAAAATGGCAATCGGAAGTTCGTTTTTTTTCACATTTTCCACGCTTAGCCAAATGGAAAATGCAATAAATCAAATGCACCAGCAGCAGCAACAACAACGCTTGAGTGCTTTTCTTGTTTAGAGTTGGCAAAGCAAAATAAAAGTTGCCACTTTAATAAAACCCCCTCCTCACTTCGTCTCATTTTGATTTGTGTGCTTTTGCAGCTTGGCAACAATATGGCAAAGAGCAGCGGCAACAATGGCGATAAAACTAGAGAAGCTATGCGGATAGCGAAGCTATAAATACCCTTAAATGGAAAAAATAAAATCATTAATTATAGCATTTTTTCTTCAACATATTTGAAAAGCTATAAGAACATTCGTAGCCATTTGAATTTTAATTATCACTGGTGATTTCTTAATTTTTTTCTCCTAAGAACATTTTGGCATTTATACCCGCATATAAAATTAATGTAGTTCCCACAAATCCATTAACCAATATAAAAATTCATTATTTAGATACTACTCGATTTCTAAGGGTATCCACCCAAAGTACCAAAAACTACATGCTGAATAATGCTGTGGAGTTGCTGCACTTGTTGTTGTTTTCATTGTGTTTTCTTTTCTTACTGCTGACTTTGTTGTTGCTCTGGCATATTGTTGTTGCTGTTTTCATTTGTATAATTGCATTGCACACTTGATTGCATTCAAGACGTCGACTGAAGCAGCGCAGTCGATTACAATGAAGCCAATAAAACCAGCGCCCAGCAACAAAATTGCTCCCGACGATCGTTCCCTTTTTTTCAGACGATATTTGCTGGCTCTATCTTTCTGTGCACAGAAAGAAACTAAAATAATGTTTAAGTAAAACTTAAAATTTGTCGTGATCAAGTTTATTGTCTTAAATCAGAGAAATTAAAGCGATTGAAGCAATTGTATATTTATTATTCAAGTTTTACAATCAAAGTCTGCTTCTCAATAAAATATATGTTATGGATTCAACAACAAACAGCTCCTTAATCTGAAATTGTTTATTAAATACTTATAAATATAGTATAAACATTTCTTTATGTGGTGAACATGAACTGGTACTGCTGTTGGTATCTGGTCTTCTCGAGTTTCTTTCGGATATTTACTGCTGCTGAGCCACAACAATGCAGCCAAACCAACAAACCAGATTCAATTACAGAAAATACAATAACGCAAGAAATGGCTTTTAAGAGATGTTTTGTTTTTTCGCTGCTTTGGCGGTGGATCTGCCGCCAACAATAAAAAACAGATAGCACAAAAAGAGCAGCAAGAGAGAAATTTCCATTGCAATTTAAATTTAAATTGCGCGGATCTACGGCAGCATGGTTTTTAAGAGTTTTTCCAAGCCAAATCGGAGGCAGCTAGAGCGGCACAAAAAATTTTGTAAAAGCAGGCACCCACAACACCACGAATACACTTGTGCATAAACATATAGGAATTCCTAATTGAAGTAATTATTTTTGATGCAACTTTGTAACTACATGACTTTAATTATGTTTTCTACATAAAGTTAACTTAAATTTTAAAGAACTTAAAATCTATTATGCTTATATATTATTATTATATTATTTTTAAGTTTTGAAGCTATTTCTCTGGCCGCCAGTGTGAATACGCTTGTGGAACGCAAGTAGATTTGTTTTACTTTTTGAAAGCTTTTGGATGCTGACTGAACAACAGATACGATGGCGGGTGGCGTTTACCTCCACCCACTTTACCCTCCCCCTTTTTACCGCCCACCCAAAAAAACCCCCTAACGATCCACTTTTTGATCTCTTTCTTTTCGGCTGCTCTTTTTTCGCTGCTTTTCGGTTAAATGTTGCATGCAGTTGACAAGTCGACAGCGGGGCAAACAGCAACAACAATCATTTCAAATTAAACGTAATTCATGGCAAAAGAAACCGAAAATACCCACCAACAAAACCGAAACAAACCAACGAAAATAATACTAAATTAAAGGGAAATTTGTTCACCGTCAACTTTTCATTGGGTGAAAGTTTTGCAGCTCTTTGCAGATTAAGATCAACCATTCGAAATGAAACGAATTGAAATTGGCAAATTGCACAGAAACCTGAAATTGAACGATAAATGAATGAGTGGCTGTGAAAGAAACGCAGAATCATTATTTCATTTGAATGGATTCGAGAAAAATGGCCAAGGCTAAGAAGCTCCATTGTCGAAATGCCAATTTATTTGTAGTTCGAATCGTTCTAAAAGATCGTAAATTAATGTTTGTTGAGGTTTTTGCTTGATCGACATTAATTGACAATTAACGAAATATGATACGTTGATCTTCGGTTTTGGAAGAGTAGCAATTTGATACAAACAGTTTAATTGATGTTATATGTTCTTTATTGCAATTTTGAAAAAGAGGCCCCAATAAGTTGCGACAAATGTGTTAAAACGATGATACTATCAGAACCTCCTATTTCTATAGCGCTTTGTTTGAAGAAATCTTAAAAACAGTACCCCATATGCCCCTTGTTATTTATTCTAGAATTCTCTTAAGCAGTTTTACAAAAGCAAAACAGAAAAGCAGATTATAACTGTAGACGTTCTATTATCATGATGTTTCCTCTAACCCCTGAAAGCTTTCTCCCCGTAGCTGCTTTTATCACCTTAAAGTTCCCACATTCCCCTCGTAGTTGTTTATCGAACAGAACCCATTGTAATTAGGAATTCTGCATTTTTTTTCTCAGTTTTGTTTGCATTTTTCCATGTGGCTAGACTAGCGAAACGACTTTGTGTTGAAGTAAACAAAATGTTGACGACCGCTTAGAGGTCGCTTAGTTTCAGTTTTTTTTTTTGTTTTTAGTCTGGCCATAGAATGACAACCCAACTACACAACAAAAGCATAAACATCGGGCCACATAACTCGCGCAGTCGACGACGACGTCGACGTCCTTCAAGCGAACATTAGAAGCGTAACGCCAGCTGCAATGACCTAAAGTAACCCAATGGAGAATATACCGGAGAATGGCTGAGAATTGCAGAGAGAAACGAGAGGCGAAATACGAAAGAGTGTTGCACAATCCGGTGACAAGAGGGCGTAGGGGGCGGTGTAGCGACAGCCGACGGAAGTGGGCGTGGCCGCATAACTCTTCAGGTGTGTTGGTACAAGTGGGCAGGCGGTGGGTGGTTGGACTTTTTCGCTTGGTAAACCACATTTAAACAATGAAGAAGATAAATGGTAAGGACTGAGAAAACTCATATACGAAAACTAATCGTAAATTATACATTTTACATTAACTGCTCATAATAATATGGTAAAAACGACGATTTTTAACAACCGAAAATTTCCCAGAATCTTAAAGAAAAGAATCCCAATGGGGATCTTAGTATGTTTAAGTTATCTGACATTTTTAAGGGGTTTAGGAACTGGTTTTTCAAAGTATCTAGGCTAATATTTATACTTAATTATTATAAACAAATATCATTATCATTACAAATAATAAACTGCATTACAAATAATAAAGTGCATTACAAATAATAAACTGTATTACAAATAATAAACTAATATAATACAAGTTTTGTAATTTTGTTTTTGGTTTAATTGTAATAACTTATTAAGAAACTGCTGACAACTTTACAGCTTTAAAATTAACGTGGATACCGATACCGACGTGCATTGCACATTGCAGGGTATTTTTATAACTGACAATTTGAGTTGCGCCCAGCCAAGCGGAGTTAACTTCAATTGAGGTCAAACGCTCAACCGAGCGGCGGGTGCAGTGGAAAGTGGAGTGATATGGTTATGGTGGAAATGGAAATGGAGTGGGTGGAAAAGTCCAGGCCAGATGATAGAGGAGTCGCCTCGAGACGCGACAAGAACTGCAAAAACAAAAACAACATCAACCAAATATAAATAGCATCAGCTAACCAGGCCTCTGTCCGTCCGTCCGTCTGTCTCTTTCCCACAGTCGTTCTCCCTCTCTTTCGGTTGCTGTGCGTCAAGTCTAACAAGTCATCATCATAATGATCATCGTCGAGAGAACTGGAACAACGACACTACAGTCTACAGTCGGAAAGCAACAGCAACAACAACAAATGGAAAATATTTTGACGCATAAAAGCAGCGCAAATAAAATAACAAACGGAAAAACAACATATATTGCTACTGAATTGGATGGCAACCACTGATTATAATCATTCACCCCATACGGAGGATTCACAGCAACACAATGTATAGCTAATAATATTGTTTTCCCAAATTGGACAAAAAAAAAATTAAAATTTTTGGTGTGTAATCAAAATCCACTGCCTCATAATAGAGCTGTGTTACCAATTTTTTTTTACAACATTCTCCGTTTATTTAATATGTTTTAACACACCAATATCAACATCAAACCTTTAATTAATATTTTTATAGTCATTAATATTATGTTCCTTGCCCTTTTTCACTTTTTTTATGTTTGGAATATCATGTTAACCTTTCCATTTTTATTTTTTACGGACGACTTTTTTGGATCATTAACGAATGGTATCAAATTTTTGCATTGGGTCTGCGCAAAGTTCAAGCCAATCCCACAGTCAAATATCCCAGCAGACCCAAAATACAGAAAAAAAACCGGCGAATCGTTTTCAAATTTCTGTTTCCAATGTAATTTAAATGCAAATGCAAACAGCCTGAAAAAAAGGGAGAAAAATACGAGCGCAGACGGCCAAAGGAAATGAAGCAAAAAGGGAAAGCGTGTCAATTTGATTGAAAACACAAAATAAGCAATACGAGTCAAAGGGGTTGGACGAACGAAAGGAAAAACCAGCAGCAGTCAAGAAATAAAAAAAATAAAAGCAAGCGCTGTAAATTAGAAATCGAAAAAAAAATGCATTGCACTGAGAGGCAAATTTTAAAAAAATAAACATATAAAAGCAAAAGCAATAGCTATTCAAACGTCAAATGCAATTTAGATGAAGCCACAACTTTAAGATTATTGATTCGCATTCCATTGATTTGTCTGTTTCTCTTTTTACTGATTTGGCATAGAAAAATGGAATGTCTGGGATAAATGTGACAACAAATAGCAGCAGCATTTGAATCTGCAATCACTTGGAAGCTTTAAAATAGAATGTTCAGCCATCAGTGAGTCTGATGCAACTATTCATTTATTTGCAGCATTTCTAAATGAATTATCTAAATTATTTCTTGTTTAGATT